ATTGATATATTATAGATGTGATTTCGAAATCCTTCATTTAATATGGTACAATCCCAGTGTTTAAAATTGATTAACTAAAATTCTCACGAATATTCTGAAGATATTTAAACGTCTCACTTTGAATGATGTATAGTATTAATTTTAAGCGGTCTGAGTGATGTTACATCGAATGTAAGTGGTTTCAACTAACCCGCATTGCGTCTTGAATTCCTTCGGCGGTGAATTGATCGTTTCATCTGTTGCTACATGTGAAACGTTGGTATGTATTCTATGGAGGATTCAAGATCTTTCTAACGTGATTTGTTACGCTTGGAATGCAGATGCGCTTCTATGGTTCACATCTCCTGGCATGGAATAAGGTTAACTTGCACAGAGATCGATGTTGTTTCACTTTCTTATGCAGCTGCGAACTTAGGAAGGAAATATGCTACATTCACTATTGCAACATGTCATAATCTTCTAGATGACCACGAATGAAAGTGATCTGCGTTCTAATTCGTGTCAATTTTTTCGCGGAATTTATTACGTTCGGTAGCGAAGCAGGGATTCTCAAATTAATATTAACAATAATTTAGATATTATAAAATTTAGTACATAAATAAGTATCAAATCAAATTTGTCGGACTCCTATATACAGGGGCTCCTTCCCTACGTCATTTTCCCCGGGGATGTAAATGAAGAAGGGCGAGTGCCCGGGATATCATTTTATCCCGAGGAAGTCTGATTTGATCGCGAGTGTACTTTGAAATTTATTTATCTACTCTAATAATACAGAGGCATTGGTCTAGTTCATTTTCACAATGAAAAATAATCCGTTTCAATCCTCCTTCGAATTATGAATATGCATAACTATCAAATTTTAACATTGCATCGATATAATCATATGAGAATTTGTATCATTTAGTCTTTACAATTTGTAAAACGAATTAATTTATACTTATCGATTCGGTAAAATGGTACCGTCAGTGGAGGGGTGCGCAGTGGTATTTGACTATAATAGAATTTCGCAGTGCAAAGGTTAAACACGAACGCCTTATGAACTTTTTCAACATTCTTACGACAGGAAATTCGTGTCAAGATGGAAATTCAAGTATCCCCGTAATGATTCAATGATCTCTTGTTCGCAGAACAGTCGGACTCGGTTGGATCGTGATCGGTACGATATGACTGGTTCGCGTGTAAGTTCATGTACATGTGTGTGTACATAAAGAGTTGCAGACATAAGGCCGACTTTCTCCTCCGGCGAGCAATAAGGCGGCATTACGCAACCACGCTCTTCGTACCTTTTACTCTGCTGCAAACACGGAGAGCCGTTGGTCAGGCCTGTTTTCATCATCCACGCTCGTGTTCGCTCACGCTTGCACTGCGAAATGTACAGCCTCGTGCACAATTAGGGTTCGTGCAATCGCGAGTAGAGATGGATAGGGATGATATATTCGAATGCGATGCAGACTTTCTATTAGGAAGAACAAACAGTAGGGAAAGGAGATTGCCACCCCTTGTTTTGGGAAAATCCAGGGAAAAATGAAGAAGAGCCTAAGGCTGAATTTACCTTGGAAAATAGCTACTATCCATGGTTATTTTTATTTTATCTATTTATAGAACAAATTTTTTATATTACAACTTTAGAGTACTGGACGTATACATGATTTATCCTTTCAACGGCAAAATAACGTTAATGATCGCTTTTATGAGATAGGTGCCATGTAATTACATTTGGTCCCGAGCTACCGTTACGATGGTGAAACTAATTAACCATCGATTTCGGTGAGAATAAATTCACTATCACAGTGGGGTATCTCATAAAGGTGTCTCTTTAGGAATGTCAAACGATTTTATCAAAGTAGAAATGGTTTCAGTATGTCACATATCGTAATATTCAATGAAGTCAGAACAACGTATACTTTGATCAAAGTATTTTGACTTTCATAGGGTGCACGGTCCAGCTGGAAGTACTGGTGATTCATCGTACTTCCATTAACCGTGCATATGTACAGTTCGAACTTGTAAACACATCACGGACCGAAATAGGGTTTATATATTAATAGCTCGTCCCAAGATGCATCTAGAGGAAAGTGGGCAAACTACGAGAAGGAGCACCTTACGTTGGATCAGAAACCCAGCAGTAGCGTATCTAGAGGAGGGCAAATGGGGGGAGGAGGGCTATTGCAGAAGTTATGGAATTTAATAGAAGTTTAATTTGTGTTCTGAAGTAAAATTGTTTTTGTTAGAATCTTCTTTGGAAGACATTTCAAATAGTGCTCAAAGGATTCAAAATTATAATTTTGTATATTTTACTTCATCTTAAGCAAGGCTTCTGGGAATGATTCAAGTTTCTAACTTTCTGTATTTGTCTTAAATTCAATAATTTCGTAAAAGTTACTATAATTTGATAAGAGAAATGTGGAAAGGAAAAATTTCTAGCTAGTTAACAAATTCAATATTATAATTAATATTGCTATTTATTTATAGTATTAAGTTCGTTTTTACAGATTATTATTTTTTAAATATAATTAGGATAATTTGAAAGGGTGCACTCTTTAGGATTCCAGAATGAACAGGATATACATAATGGAGTAAAAGACCTCTTATCGCAAAACTAAATCATTATATAAATTTTACGTAAGCCTCATTATATTAATGTTTATGTAAGATCATATTGCAATAACAATTCAGATTCACGAAGTTTTGATAAAACTTTCATTGAATAATTGTAAAGAAACAATTAATCGAATTAACGTTCGAAAACAAGCAATTATCTACCGTCGCCGCGGGTAATCTATATTGATATGTCGCTATTCAAACCTTCTCAAGCGAAATAACAAGTTACGAGGTCGTATTATTAAAGTAACTACATAAACTAAAAAGGAAACCCTTCAAATTGTCCCTTTCAAATCTTAGTAATACTGAAATATTACTTAATATTAGAAGATATTCCCAACGTAATATTGATTCTTAAATAAAATTCAATTGAATTTCTATTACTACAATAATCTAACAAAATCTTCCATCGATCGGATAAGAAGAAAATTAAACCGATCAAAATAAATCCTCGAAGCAAGCGTCAGTGAGAAAGTTTCAAAAATTGATCGGACTGTTTTAAAAGGACCTTGAACTTGCTTACCTCGGCCTGGCCATGCGATGATCTTTCTTCTTCACATTCGCCACGTGACGATAGTCCAAGAAGTGGTGTTTAGAAAAATTCGGTGTACGAACGGTGTAACCGGAAGGATCGAGGCACCGATCACGATCCAGTCAGAACGATTTGACCAGACGAAAACAATGGACGCACTAGAAAAATATCTGGGGAACAAGAGATATACTGGCTCGTTCAACAATAACGTGGAATGTTAAAAAAATACTTCTTTAGAACACGCGTAAAAGATACTCGAATCGTTTAACCACGGGCACACGTGCCTTGTTTTATTCCAAAGGCAAAAGTCACTGACCACGTTTTTAACATCCGGATTCGTTAACTGTTAAACTTTATTTCCCTTCATTTTTCTTTTGCCAAAGCGTCACGGTATCGTGTCAACGACGATGCTGACGACGCCAACCGACGAAGCGCGGATGCTCGGCAGGGCTAGAGGACTCTGAGGAGGGTGAACCTAGGGGATGGTGGAAACGGCGAAGAGGGGGTTCGAAGTGAAGTGAACCTAAGCGCAGGTTCGTGCGCTCAAGTAGTGTACACTTGTCTATCGAATATACCTTCCTGTGGTACGGGTATATGTTTGCAACAACAGAAACGTGTTGCTTCGTTTTTCCTCCATGCAAATTATACGAGATTGTTTTATGAAGTGGTTCCGTTCAATACTCGGTTGACTCTGATTGCATCAGAGGAAATATGAAATGATCGCGTTTATTAAACGAACACCAACGAGTTTTAACGAGAAATACCGCTATAAAGTTTATCGTTTATTGTTGAAGGCTAAGAAATATGCGCGAATGATTTCAACGAGAAAGACCAACAAATGCAATTTAAAGTTATTAAACAAGTTGATCGTGTCGTTTGTACGACACTTTATTCAGTTTCGTTACAAAAGAATTTGAAAGTTTTCTTTCACGGGACGAACAATTTCTACGGAAGAATTTCTGTCGACGCCGCGGCGTCGCGCTTTTAAACAATTTTCCGGAAGTACTTCCGTTTAAGTGTAAAAGATTACGCAAGCGTCACGGCGTAACATCGAGTGTACATCGCAATATTGTAGCAACTTCCTTAATTTGTTTTTACGGCGTCGCCATCGCGATGTTTTTAGCTAATAACACACCGTAACGATCTTCCTTCCTCCCCTTTTATTATTCTTACACTAGTAAAAAGGGAAACTTGAGATTTTTTTTATTCTTATCATCCACTCTGATTTATACACACATTGAATTACTTAGAAAAATCTTTTTTTAATCAGTAAAATACAGACACTAAATTAATCATTTAAAAAAATAGTAAGTAGTATCAATATTAGGTATATGCATTAATTTTACAAAATGACAAGTGAAAATTTTAAACTGAAAAGTGGAACTGTTGAGTGCTGAATAATTATAATTACAGCGTGCCATATTATACATGTACGTTCGTTTTCACTACGACGTTCAACGTGTTAATAATCTTCAACGTGTCTTACTAGACACGTTCTTTTTCATTCTGGCTGTCAACGCGTTAATAACTAGTCGGGTCTGATACTGACAGCGCAAAGTGTTGGAGATGTAGTTTCACAAAAAGAGAAAATAATCGTGTTTTCTTCAACTAGAACTTACAGTTTAATATTAGGTTGTTGAATATCAAACAGCTAATCTCGAAGCATAGAAAGTCTGACATGATTCGATGACATAAAGGTATTGCAAAATTGTATCCATGATATATCATGGATTCATAAGCTTATGAAATTTTTAGTCGATTTATGTACTGGGTCAAAATAACCCTGAGCTGGGTGTATGCGAAGGATAAAATAAGAGTGACAACTTGAACGATCTTGAAACTTTGATCTTGTACCATGTTCGTGTAGGAAAATGGAAAAGGGATTTAGTCCTATCGAGAAGAAGAGGCACAGCTTCCTCAAACGTGTTTCAATCCCGTGGGTGATTCCCCTCCTGACCCCTCCCACAGGAGCCCTTGGCCTCGGCAAGCTCCTGCCACCTGCTAACCCCTGGCTCGCCTGCGACGCGTCAATATTCGCCGACCACCCTCCAAATACGACCTCCCTGGTGCAACCCCGTGCGAAATCCTGCGCAAGCGCCCTATCATCTCCTCGACCTAACTCCACTCCACATTACCACTATTTTCTTCCTCTACAAAGCATTCCGGATGTTCCTCAATCTTACCTTTTCTTCCCGTTCGATTTTACCACCGCTATCGGCGTTGAATACAAGCCATGAAAGAATCCCCTTTTACCCTGCTATGGATTATGGCCGCCGGTGGCCTTTGAAAATCTTTAAACCAAACATCGCTTAACCCGGGCTAATGTAATTATTCCAAGATTCGTGTATTTTTCTATTATCTTATACGTTGCAGGACGTTGCATCTATCAATTCAATACTTTCAGTAAGATTCAGCAAATTTCATGTAAACTGATTGTTTTATTAAAATGTTATTAAACGTCGAGTTTCCATTCCGAACCTATTAGCTCCAAGTGGCGCGCTTGGATTAATTTCACTGTGTACTTAAGGTACAAGATATATTGAACGATATATCACAGTTTTATTAATTTATGACTCGTGTTCTCTGCAAAATTAATATTATGAAAAACATGTATCTACCGTCACTGTGAAGGGTTTCCTCTTTCCTGTTTGCTTGCAAACCTCTTAATGTTGTTACAAAATAATAATAATAATAAATGATTAAACCATGTTTCTCTATAATTACATAGGATAAATGTAATAAATTTTACAATCAATTACTGCAGTTAGCTTAACAATAATGATACGTTGTTATTTCATTTAAGCATGAAAATATAAGGTTTCAAAATTTGATAAGAAACATTTTCCAACTGGTTTATTCTATCAATAATTATTTTGAAAAATAAATAACGGATTTATACATTACCGGGATACGTCCTTAAAATGTAGATGCAAGCAGTGTGACGGTAATCATTAATAATTATTAGTACAATTGCGCTCGCGGTATTCGTAACTGGAATTAGATTTCTATAGGAAAATATAAACTGTTAATTCGTACGATTGAACGAATCAGTTTTATTGATATTACGTTTATGTATTTTGCCGATGGAGTTACGTTGTTCAACGATATATCAGATTACGGTGGTTGCAGATTGCGGAAGAACATGTGCCTGGTACATTCTGATCTGTGTGTTGATATCCGCAGACAGCGGATTCTTCTTCTCGTACCTTACCCTTTCGTGCCTTTGAGAAATTCAAAGCTCGATTACCATTCTGAGATCCGACCGATCAACTCTCCTCTCGCCGAGATTCTCACGTCAATCTCAGCAAAGACATTGACGCGAATCTCTCCAAAGAAGTAAGAAATAAATACGGTTACAGTGTTTCTGAAAATTTTATCGACAATCTATGTTAAACGCTTGAAAAGTAGAAATTAATTTTTTTACTAGCTTCGAAGAAAGGGTTGCTATACAAGGGGAGAAAATATTTTTAGAAAGTAGAAAGATGTTATCTCAGGACGGTTGGTAGTTTACCATCGTAAGATTTTACAAAATACGTGCGAAAATGATCCGTTGGCGCAGTGGACAAGCCCGAATTCTCGTAACGAGCTGTCACTCGCAGAAAGCCACCCTCCGAAAAACTCTACGTTTGCAATATACGCACACGAATATAGCTCGAGCAAATCGACCGACCATGATCGATGTCGACCCTTTTCTTGTTTCCACATTCAACGACCCTAGTCCTCCGCATTTCCGTTCTCATCTTCCCCTTCGTTTTCTTCGAAACTAAACGTTAATTTGTATGAATTATCTCACGGTTATATAACATTGATGAGTCTTCGCTCGAAGTCGTACAATAGCACTGATATTACATCAATTCGAAGTTTAAGGTTTCGCATGAATGATAATTTCTACGTTTATGAATCGTAGGACGTTTAAGGGAGGGTCAAGAAATGTCCATAGAATCTGAAACGTTCATTTCGAAGGAAATCAGAGAAAATATATTTAATATAAAAGATCTAAATAATTCAATTATGCATAATTCCTATTGGCCATTCTTGACCCGACATTCGTGGTGCCAGCAATTATCAGGCTATTCGCTGTCCGAAGGTTGAAACGAAGGTTGAAACGAAGGTATAAGAGCGGGCTTCTCTTAAAAGCAGATGATCGATTTTAACGACAGAGTTACCACGACAGTTTAATTAGCATAATTGACGATATTACGGAGCATGATCGAGCATCGCGCACGCGTACATGGACGGCGTAGGTCAGGAAGGGGAGGACATCGAACTCGAGGTTTTGCAGGCACCGAGCATTGCAAGGTCGTCGAATCTCTCCGTGACGATCTTTTGGAGACAATGACCTTGGGCAAAGTAGCGCAAGGGTGAAATTATCAGACCACTCTTATCGTGATCTGAAGCGAACCTGTTACACGAACAACTTACACTCGACAGTGCATTTACTCGAATCGATGATGTTTCATGAAAATATTCATTAAAAAGTTGAACATTGTGGGGGTCACTGGTGATTTGCATCGTGAATTATACATGCAATAGAAAAATATTATTTTTAATAGAATTCTTACTGTACCAATAATAACATAAGGGCTTCAATCCCCACATCATCATTTTCCTTAGGAACGCCTAAGATGAAAGGCAGAAACCCGGGACATTATTATTTTTCCCGAGGAAGTCTGATTTAATCGTGATTCAGTATTATTTCAAATAAAAGTCCGATTACTTTCATAATTCGAAAATATTTTTCCTCGATAAATGCAGTATCACTGTGATAAATTTCACATCTTTGAAATGCAAAGGGAAGCAGGCACAATCCTTTTCACTTAAGTATTCCAGAATTTTTCAATATAAGCGAGACCGATGGCACATTTATAGAGAGATTTGCTCTCGACCGGGAAACGGATAGATCACACTTCCCTTTTTCCTTTTCGTCAACGACCTACTGCTTCTTTCGATTATTTCCTACCTATGCCTCGTCTTTCTCCAGAAAAAAAAAGATGAACGTCTAATGGATTTAACTCCCCACGGAGAACGGCGGGGTTGGTTTTGAAAGGGAAGAAGATTTTCTTTGGTGCTCGAATCCTCGAGCGGGCTGCACGATTGAAAAGTGAATAAGTAAAATCGTGGGAAATACTTCGAATTTTTGGAACTATTCCATGGATACGATGATGGAAATATTATAAAATCCAGTGACAAAAATTTACTTTGATTATTTTCTGAAATTCTCCCTAATTTGATGCAAATATAATCAAGTTTATGGAGAATCAACGTACCACTTATGATTAAACGAAGGAACAATTGCAGCAGAACAAATATTGAATTCTCTGTGATGAACGTAGATTGGTGGTAATAAAACACACAGGGGGGGATACGGAAAAAATCTTGATTTCGCTAACATCGATCGATATTCGATAAAGCAATTAGAAGTGCTCTGAGGGTGTACCAAACGAAATCGATTCCCATGAGATCGAAGATTCGTATTCGGTGGGGTGGCTTATCGAATTTTACCGGCCATACCCTCGAGAATACGTCAAGATCAAATTCACCCAGCTGAAAATATACATGTGTATACACCTATACCGTACACGTGCGTACATACTGGGTGTCTTACAATTCTACTATTTTAATCAAAATTATCGAACGTGAGAAATTACTATTTTTTAAATTTCAATTAGCATCAGTTAGAATCGATAAAAATAAAAATAATTTGTTAAATCGTTACATTCATTTAATGTACGTACACGGTATCCACTTTTGGTAATTCTTCTGGTACTTAAACATTTGCTGGTTACGTGTTGCATCTGATGCTGCGTTAAACAGTTAAATTATTGCGGCACTAGCGAATGAAACGCAACTTCAAAAGCTCGGGTTAACGCAGCATAGAATAAGCCAGACGCGTAATTCTATATGCACATACTGCATAGTTGCGCATTATTGTACCATACAACATGACAAGGATTTAGAACATGGAATAGCAAATGAGACATTTACATTTTCATGCGCTCAACTAAACGAATTATATTTAATTTATGATTTGTGTAATTATTATATGCGATCCGTTATATTCGTTTAGAAAGAAGAGCTTTAAACGTTAACTTTATCAATTTCACTTGACCAATACTGTCTACATTTTTCAACTATTTTATTCGTTCATTGTACACCCACGATCAATTACGCGTATTTAACGCAACAGACCGTACTGTGTACATATAATTCTGTCTAATAATATTTAATTACGTAATGCATATAACAATTAGCTATGCATGGATTATGTATGGTATAATATTAAACTGTCGTTATTTCGAACGTACAACGAACATTGTATAAATTAAAGCAGTGTCATAGGCAATTTAACGGGTTATGTGCAATCATTTAAATACAGATACTGTATTAATGAAGTAAGCAGTTGTATAAAATAGATTTATGAATATAATTAATTAGGGTAATGTGCTTCTTTTCTTGTTAAGCAAGCTTTTATTGAAATAAATTTTAATCTTATGGTGGGAGAAATAGTTGAATACCACCAACAGCTGCGATCACAATTCTATCAAAATTAAAGAGCTACATGGATGTTAAATTCATGAAGCAATAGTAATGAATTGTTGTATGCAATCTGTACGTAGTTGCTAATTTAAAACGACAATTTACATGTTTTACGATAATTAACATAATTAACCTGGGAAAGATAACGGTTAGTAATTGCACCCATTCTGTGTACATTTAATTATACCCTTTTGCGTCAAGTAAAAAATAGAATATTGAAGTATCAATAACGATAAACCATGTAGAAGATTTTTGTACGAGAAATCTCGAGTTTGATTTTTTTTCTATTTTGAGAAACGTATTTGAAGAGATTCCCTGTTTAGAAGTGGTCCTACACCGAATCATCAGTGAAATTGATTTAAAGCGCAGTTTGCACGAAATGAGAACATCGAAGATTCGCAATTACCCAACGAAATTTCATTCGAATCCCATCGGGGTCGGAAGAGCCACGAAAAATCCAGCAAATATTGCAATTTGAAAACTCCTATGGCGGTGGTGAACGTAAATTAGATTTTGCGCCGTTTCAAACTGCACGTTTAGGCACTTTTAGATTCCAAGAAATTAACGCGAAAAAAACTTGAATACGATTTAAACAAATAGTCAAAACGTCGTAGACTTCAATAATTATATTTTCGTTACAATTAAATCTTCAAATAAGATACCTAATTAAGTTCTAATTAAAGAAATTTTCTATTTCTGTCAAAAGTCTCAATCGTTCAGTGCATACTTGTACAAACTTCCGCGGTCTAATTATAACGGAAAGGCAGTTTAAATCGCGGAAACATAATGAAAAGCCGGAAACGACGCTAGTCCGTTCGTCACGAACGAATCGATCGAACAAGCCACGAGTCAAAAAGAGCCGGTTGTTCTGGTGATTTCGAGGGTTCGTTGGCCATCTTTTCACGCTCCACCCTCGTTCTCTCGCTGTGCTCTTGTTCCGGAAGGAATTTAATCAGGCCACCCTTCGAATCCGACCGACACAGACCGAATTGAATTGAATTACTCGTACCGGTGAGGGCAAGAATTTCTTCCAACGAATGGAAAAGTACATGGACTTTTGTTAAATATTTGACGAATTATTAGCAATGATTTTTCCCGAAAGAAATAATGGTAAAAATTAGTCAATTTTCAATTTTCTGAGCTACGAAAGATTTTCAAGGGATTCATTTAGTAATTATAATAGAAATTTTCTTGCACTTCTTTCTGAGACTATATTAGCAACAGTTTATTTCAAAATAAGGGGTAGTATAATATTAAAAATTCGGAAATAAATTGTTTCTCTTGTTAGATAAAATACCATCGTCAAATAGCGTATTAGAAATTAGAGGGCACCCTATTGGGGCACGACGCGTGTTCTCTCATGGCAGTCCAGTACAGAGTACATAGCACCGTGAACATAGAGAATACTCCATGCACCCCGTACTAGGCTACACAGACAATGGAGCATGGTTACACCATTAATTGAGCCGATTCTCGTGCGTTGTACTGAGATCGGCTATGTTTCGCAAAAAGGATTCTACAGAGGACAACAGCTATGTATCTCAAACCTTTATCTACTTACGAGGTTTTGTTGCCGGAATTTCTATGAGAAAACAGGTGATCATCTCGATAAAAAACAGAAAAATTCACCCTCTATTGTAAGAGTTGAGATGCATTTAGTAGAAGAAATTTTCTTGAAATTATTCAACCGTTTAATCTACTGAAGTAAGAAACAACCATTTGAACCTTGACCTACAAATTCGCTAATTTGTTCATTGGGTCAAGTGGTCGCTAAAAACTCTTTTGTTAATGCGACCAAATTAAAACAATGAATTATTATGTAATATTCACATTCTCTATGCCACTATGAATCGTTGTGACTTATATAATATATATTTCTATATAGCTACTTGTATATATTAATATTTATATTTATATAAATAATTATTGCGTGAAATTTAATTAAAAAAATTTTTTGAAAAGTGATACTGTATGTGAACGTTTACTTTATCCAAGATGAGTAACGACATTACTTTACGGGATGACCTGATATTACAGTGATGGCAGGGTTTTTGTTGCACAAGTACGTTAAAAAGGTTTTAATCACGTAAATAGAGAAAAATATGAAGGCTGACAGAAAGAAGAAGTGGTCATACAATTTTTTAATCTTAGGTAACCACCTGAAAAGCGTTTCCAGTGATGACGCTCATTTGTGTATGTCATGAATACATGGATCCACATAGTTATCGTTGTACTGCGGAAAGAACTGCATTTCGTTCGATATCACCTGCATTTCTGATTTTTGCCTTGAATGCATTGGCCGACTTAACGAGAGCCGGCATTAAAAAGTAAAATACACCGCCTTTAATTCAAATCCATTTCTGTTTAATCATGAAAATGAGGAAAGTGAACAAAAATTCTCTGTCTGTCTCTCATTGCTATTTTATCCTTTATAATGAAATTTTGTATAAACTGATGAGGAAACTTTTAAATGTTTCATTTAATGTTTGAATTTCCATTAAATTAAAATAATATTTTTTTTTTGTATAAACATATAAAAGTACCTGTAAATCACTAAATCTTGTTTACAAGATTACTTTGATGTTTTGAAAGATTCGATGGATCTTTCTGTTTATTCACTGATTAAGAAACATTTCATTTACTTACCGATTGCAAAATTCGGCTATGATTCAACACGTTTGCAAATACGATAACAGAGGATATATCAATGTTGATAAAAAATTTTAAGAGTCTTAAGGAAGTTAAACGGAACATTTCCGTAGTTTAGATCGCGTTAATTTAACCAGTTATCCCCAACTCTAACGAGAATTTTTGTCCTACGTTTTCTGTTTCTCTTAATTAGAACGGATAATGGTTATGATCCTTAAAGTTACCAACTAGAAAGCTTGTTTGAAGAAAAACTATGAAATTAAATGAAATAAATAAATTTCTCTCGCATTAGTTTACCATTTTACATTATGGAAATATTTCATAATTTTGAAACGATACATAATTGAAGGCTGTGACATTGGAGTTCGATAAAAAAGTGTTATGAATTGGTTTCTGTGGTCGATACGCGCCATTAATAATTCACAATCAATTCCCTGAATTTAAACCCTTCAATTTCAAGAATCTGAATTCGTAGCATTCCAATGTAATTCCATCATGTATAATATAATTACAGAACCATGTAATTTTCATTCTGAACAGCAAAATGGTACAGGTGGTACAGCAAAATTCTATCACTCGTTGTCAGTTAATTTTATTAAAAAAAAAGAAAAGATTCAAAAAGTAATTTTTTACTGAACAATACATTATGCTTTTCTTTCGAAAAATTAAAATTAAAATTAAATAGTACACCGAACGTGTTAATATAAGTATTAATTTTCTAAAGGGGTCATTTCCCTCGCATTTGTCTCAGATAATTACTAGCTTGAAATTTGATAAATTTCCTGATAACGCGATATCAGGTCGTCGATGTCCAGACGGAAGCGTATGTCGCAAGAAAAGGAAGGAAGAAAGACTTAATAATATCCAGAGGGACAGTGTGGCGCCATTATCTTTAAGAGCATATTCCCTGTAAAGTGGCACAGTGTAGTGCAATATCGACGGACAAAGAGGAAGGAAGATGAACAGAGGGAGCGGATAAGTCGGAACCTTTCGCTGGTAATCACCAGGAGAGGATAAAAGTGACCGTTCCTTGTCCTCTTTTCTTCTCCTATTTTTTCAGTCATGCACTTCAGAAATTTCACGTCGCCCACGAAAAAGTAACGTGTCATTTTACAGAGATATTTTAATCGGGGCATTAATAATTTTCGCAATGTAGAGTGCTCGTCTTCTTTTGCCACTGAGAAGACGTGGAATCAACTTGTTTTAAAGTGAATGAAAATTTTAATTCAAATGGAAGAGTATATCTAATTTAATTTTATGTTCTTCGTACAATACAAATTTTGGTATGGATCAAAATTGATCCTGTATCGACCGCCCGCGTCACTGTTTGATGGTCAGCTGTTCGAGGGTTAAGATAGACCTCACACGGTTGCCCAAGTAGATTAAGAAAGTAGATTCAAACCTTCGATATAATCAACGCGTTGATCTCTAAATTAGGGTAGCCCATCGAACACAACGGTTTACTCCAACCTACGAAATTCCTATTGATCGGAAAGGTACAATAAGACTTTGTTTTTGTAGGCGTGCAGAAGTATTCCGTAAGAACGAGCAAGACTTGGAGCATTCGATCTCTTAGGCACCATCGGTATCGCATTTAACCGGTTCAGACGAGACTTTCACTCTCCACCAGTTTCACGTAACCTAACCCAGGTACATCGTGTTTATGTTATACCATTTGTTCCTGGGATAAATGTTAGGGCTTATTAAGAACACTCATTAAGATGAGTTACATTTTTTCCGTCTGTGTTATCAATCGAAAAAGTAATTATCCAATCGATTCAACTTACCTAAATAGTATCTTTAATTTCCTTCCTTAAGAAGAAAGCTCCGACGGAAAAATTGCAATCTCAATTTCTTCGTGTACCTTTTTTCCTAAGGTATCGTTGTATAGACGTAAAATGAAGAGAACAGTCGAACTACGGCTCATCCGATCGAAGTAAGTTGGAAGTTTCCACGGCAATTTGCCGTGCACTGAAAGCAACAAGAGTGAATTATAAGGCTATTTTAAACAACCGGTGATTTATTTCTACAGTTTCAGTCTAGCACTGAAAGAATTTCCTCGACACGATAGCTTGAAATTTCCTCGGGCGTTAATGTATCTTCGTTAAGTTTATATTAAACGTCAAACTCTATTTAAAGCAATATCAGTGGATATTTCGATCTTCTAAATAAGTATCTTGCACGTAAAAGGTGTTAAAATAATATCCTTTACGTTGTACACTTTTAAACGATAAATTATTTACATGTACATTATATTTTTATCTAATTGAAGTTGATTTGTTCAAAATAAGTTAAAATAGAATGTACGGTAATAGAATTGAAGAAAAAATGTGTTATAATAGAATTTCCCCTTAAAATAGTTAAATATGGCACATTTTTCTATAGCATATGGGGTATCGTAAAAGCGGGATGATTTTAGAAAATTTCACGCGCCATGATTTCTCCCCCCACGTCAAAGTATTCCCCCGTTTTTGGCCGCATCAATGAGCCCGAAGATACAGGATACAATTTCGAACGGATTTATTGGTTTCATGATGGGGTCGGCATCTACTGTAAGTTGGCTACGAGGGTTCCGAGGGTGCGAGTAGAAGCTTAGGGGGGATTATCGCCAACAGCACGAAACATCGCAGCATGACATTTTCACTTGAAACTATAATACATATAATACAGTGTGCCGCATTAATATTTCGACGCTGTGATATTCAAATAATTATTACCCCATGCATGTACCTATTTTTATTAACTATCTTTATCATAAACAATTGCTTTGAAAATAGAAACTACGAAACCTTTTTGCAAATTTCGCAAAGTCTTCTGAAACAACTCTCTTGAAAAATAAAAAAAGCAATTTTTCGAAATCGCTAATCTAGAATCTTTCCTAGCACAATTCATAAATGAAAAAAGAGGAAGTAAAACTTCTGGAGGCAGGTTCAACTAATTTGCATATTGCTGAGACAGATGTTTATGTACCCTAACTTTTCTCTCCTCGCTTTTATTTTTTCTTTTTTCCACTCCTCTGCTCCAATCTACTTCTGTTGCCATCTTCTTCTGTATGCACCAGCCCTCCGCCGCTTTCTTTTTCATTCAAATGCCATCTCTCCGAATAATAAAGTGGCGCTCCTTTAACGCCCAGCGAAATTTGTAGCTCCAGATTAATCTTCGCAGAATTTTCTTTTTCAAAGGGGTTGTGATAAGGGTTCATAGTATACCGAGGACAGAATAATTGTAACAGTAATGCAATAGAGCGTTCTAGTCTAGTAAGGGGTGATTTCATAGGATTAGAGGACATCCCACGAGGCATGATCTAATAGCGGTCACTCCATCATGGATCATTCGACGATCTAATTAGACTCCTCACGCACCACCTGAGATATACACAAATCAGTATTACGTGCATACTGACAATCTATTCGAACGTTGGTCGCTATCGACCCGAAGGCCTTCTGATACATTGTAAGTTCTAAATTAATATACTAAAATTATGTCTGAAATGATTTCGTGGCATAAAAGTATTTTAAAATAACTCTTATGGTGTATCAATATTATAATTTAAAATTTGAAGAAAATTACTATACAAATATTTAATAAATAGAAAATAGAAAATGTCTATTTGAAATTATCTATAGAGGTCAGATACTGAGATTCCAGATCTAGCACTGAAGGGTTACATTCTGAATATTTTAAATGATAACAGTTATAAAATAAATGTTATAAAGTAACGATATCAATGATGAAAAATTCATGCGAAAGCATGATGTTCAAAGGGTTAGTTTGTTATCTGAATATTGTACGAAGAAGTAAGTGCATGCATCCATGGATACGTACACCTTCTCGGAGCTTCGAAGGAATCTGGTCTCAGGCCTGTGAGTGGAAGCAGAGGTCATCGAGGTCAAGGCAGTGAGGGCGTTCACCAGAATTATTCTCCTCGTTTCTTCCTCCTCTCCTTAACTGCTTTGCCGACGTCTTCGGTGCCAAGCTACCTTTACCCGCGCAGCCTGTTAGAGTCAATAAAATCTTCTCTTTCGGTTAATGGAATGCTTCCAAGGAAAACATCTGATTTATGTATTTATTTGCCTTTTAAGTAACTCCATGTTTATCGAAGAACGTTGTACAATAATTAATGAAATTTCGCACTAATGGCCACAGTTAGAGGATTTCAACTTCTCAACGACAGAGTTTCTTGGCTAACGATCATCGAGAACATTAGATTAGAACGTTCGAAAAAGAAATAATTTACAAACTTTTATTGAAATTCGTTGCTCCTAGTAATGTTATACTATGTTCTGATCTAGATCTCTTATTAAAAGATGAACACAATGCCAAGAAACGTGTAAGTTTCAGCAAGTTTCATCAATTTTTTCACATCACCATCAGATTACATCTAACATTTTAATAGCAGTAATCTAAGTTCCTGCTGCATAGTTAATACCACCAGCACATTAACAGTTCTCCAGTCCCCTCGAGTAATTAAGTCGCCTAGATGTATCTATTTCAATAATTACAACGGAGTTCAAATTAAAGATACTACCTCTACTTTTGTCTGTAATTACTTTTTCAAAGTGAGAAAAGTTAGATCCTAAATGTGAACGTCTCTTACCATTCTAAAATTCCAAGATTCTATTACTTTTAGATAAAAGTAACTTTTAGTAATTTAGAAAATTGGAATAGGATCACTCCAGAAAAAGTTTTAAGAAAGGAAAGTTCTCTGAAAAAGACACAAATACCTACATTTAGACTTATTGATGCGTTTATAAACGATATAAAACGCCAACAAGTGGAAGAAGGAAGAA